GAAGCTATGACATTAAACGGAGATAAATTTGGTGACTTGATTTTTTATTCCAAAAAAATCTTTGGCACCGACTACTTCAGAATTGCCCTTTCAAATGACTAGACGTCAATTTTTTGTCTAATTAACATATGCTATGACAATTAATAAGTCTTAAAGACAATTTGTAAAATTTGTTGGAATTGATTTGCGATCATCGGTCTTTAGTCATAGATACCTATATGTGGCGCTAGCTAAATGCACATCTTCTTAGAGTGTACATGTCCTTATCCCTAAAAATGGGTTAAACTGCACGACAAATATTAAGTACCATGAGGTTTTGTTGTAACATTCTGTATTCTACTATAACCAAAGGGTATAAATCATTTACAAGTTTATTTCTACTAATAACTAACATTTTAATAATATTATTTTATCTTTACAATTTTATTTAATCTTTGCAGAATTGGGATGAAGAAGTACAAGAGTTAAAAAGACTAAATACTACCCATCTTTGTCGATGTGGTTGTTTGAATAAAGTAACTAAATTTATTCTTTATTGTTTATTGTTTTCTTTTCCCAGTATATAGTTTTTATAAGTCTTGTCATGTACTAAATTTGTTTTTGTATATTGTTATACATTCTCTCAATTGGAAGATGTAGATTTGAATTGATACAATGACATTCAAGGTTGTGATGGAGAGAAGTTTAATGAACCCAATGTAGGACCAATAACAATTATGGGCTAGGATACCCTAGAATAACGAATGGCCCATTTTGCAAGCATATTATATAATTACATTTTGTGGTTATTCTTTAATTTTTGGTTAATCTTATTGTGATAGTTGGTAAATATTTGTGTTTAGGTAACACTATGGGTTGATTTTTTTATGTTTTGTGTAGTAATTGGTAAAAGTTTGAAATATGCAGGACAATTGTTATTATTATTGTGTTTTATTTTGGTAATTGATAAATAGTTATGTTTAGGCTAAAAGATGTTTAATATTATGATATTTTTGTGGTAGTTAGTAAATAATTGTATTTAGGCAAGACGAAATTAAAAACTATTATGTTGTTGTGGTAAGAGGTACATAGTTGAATTTTAGTATGCATATGGCATGATTTGGATATGATTATGAAATATATAAGTTTGTAGACAAGTTGATCTATTTGTATCATTATATTTTTAGAGAATATTCTGCCAAAAATTGAAAGTTACATTATTTCAATTTCTCTATTAATATATGAGCTTGGTTTTGATTGGATAAATTTTAGAATGATATAATTCAACGGTATATAATTTTGAATTGGGCAAAGCTTAGTTTTTATTCATTGAGGTGGAGATTGATTAGAAGCAATTTATGTCATTTTGTTGTAAAGTTGTCTATCACTTTTACAAGTATTATAGTTATTCATGTAGGAAGAATGATTTTCTACTCTTTTAGATGCATAAATTATTATATAGGCACATACATTTTACTTGGTCCATTGTATAAGCACCACAAATTATTTTATGGGTCTTCGTTTAAAATAGACAACACAATTTGATTGAATTACTGCAATATAAGTTAAGCATTGCAAAGAACATTTTTTAGATGGTAGATTGTGTAATTAATATTTTATTGATTGTCTATATAGGTTGATAGTTTATTGGGATCCTATTTTTAGAGAAAATTCTGTCCAAATATTTTTAAAAGAACAAAATAAATTCTTTGTGATTAAATATTGACAATTTTTTTAGCATGCGTAGAACATTCGGGCTTTAACATTCTTCCTAACAATTGAAACGAAAATATTCTGACCCACTTTGTTTCATCAAAGTCATGATATTGAAAATGCAATTTAGACTTCTAGCTTAATGCGTGTTTATGTTGAGTGTTTAATTATTTTGTGTTCAAGAACAATGCTCATTTATTTTTCTTTTGAATTGTACAATACCTTCAGGCACAAGTCATAAGTACAGTTTAGGCTTTCAGCTTAGTACATGTTTGAGTTCAGTGCTTGATTAAATCGTGTCCATATTCAGTGCTCGATTTTTTTTGAATTTCACTGTGCCTTCAGTCATGGTTTATCCCTAGTTTTATTATATCAATCTATTGACATAAAACCAAGCAAAATCCCATTTTTTTAGGAAAAAAAATAGTAATCAATATAAATATGTCAAAGAACTTAGTCAACACTAATTTGTATGAAATTATATTGTCTATTGAAATAAAATTAAAAAATCAAATAAGGAGTCAAATTGTAACTGACACAATATCTTCTATTCTTAATTGAGATAATTTGGATGTTTAATAGATTTTACTAGTTCCATAACTAATAAGAGGTCTACGTGTAATATTTTAAACTTGAGAGATCTAAGTGTTATACGCCTACAAACTTTAAGAGGTTTTTGTGTAATTTATTAATGGATATGGACGACAGGGGTCTAAATGTTACGCACATACAAACTTCAAAGAATCTGTATAATATTTTAAATATCAAAGAATTTAGATGATTAAGTGACAAATTTCAATTTCTCAGTTTCTTTACTTCCTCTAGATGTTTTGCAACCACGTCTCATGGGGTATTCAATTTAGAATAGTACTCAATACTTAGGAAATAGACCTTGTTTCTTTGACTTTTCCTAGTTGTTTATATATTACTTCTACCCCTTATTTTCCAAGTTGAAGAAGAAATGCAACTATCAAACTTTTCACTGGAGTTAAACCCCCATTGTGCACTTCTAGAATCCAGTACTTCTAGAATCCAACAAACTAATTAGAAATAGTTGTAATATTGAACAACGGGAAGTATTTATATTTTTGAATAATGTTATTTACATTTAAATATTTGACATAATTTATTAATATAATTAGATGGGTTTATAAGAATTATTAGATCAACACAAAATTTAAATATTTGATAGGACCTACAGTCAATCCAAATATCACGATGAATTAGGTTAACAAATTATGTCAATAAATTAAGTCTCAATAGCATTATTATTTTTTTTTTCCTTTTTAAGGAAATGGTAAGACTAACGGAGTCTTAGACCCAAATCTTCCACTTACTTACGGCAACTGGATTGAGCTTTTACTTCAAATATGAAAAAGAGTAAACATCATGTGGACCTTGACATATCGTTTAATTACAGGACACCCCTGTCCTTTGAAAAATGGTAGTGTAACATTTGAAACTTGTAAGAATGTCAATCAATTATTTAATTGTTATTTCTTAAATGACAAAAGTGTCCATGTAATTAAATCAATGTCAGAGAATCCACGCAATATTTGCCCTATGTACTGTTGAGCATGACACAAATAAGACAACTTGATGATATTATACAAATCCGAGTATTTCAACAATAAATCTCACAACAAAGCCTATGGACGAATAAGTGAACATTCATATAGTACAATAAAAGAGACGTCCACATGAAGAGGTCCCTTGACAATGACTCTCTTAGATGAGGCCAAATCTTCAGCAATTAAAGCTACACATATGTCATTAGTGACGTACTCCTTCGGATATGCCTGCCACTAATCCGCTAAGATTTGTTAAAGGGCCCTACCTCAATTACTCTCTTGATGTTAAGACCGATAAACTATTATATTATACCATTTGGTATTGTTTTCTATACCCCCTTTCTATTAAGTAAATAATAATTTTGTCACAAGAAATTATACTTTATTGTATTTTTCAGAACCATTCTATGTGCATATTAATACACAAATAATGTATTTATATATGTGCACATGTGATAAGTGCCTTACTACAATAAATGAGATTGTAACTTGAAAAAAAGGACAAAAAAATGGTCAAAGAAAGAATAACAATATAAAAACGTTACTCAAAAATACTAAAAAGAACATGTAAAAAAAAGTTATCAAACGGTTGTCCAAGTTGTCTCGTACGGCTGTAGAAAACTATACTTCGAATTCAACATGGCTTTTGTCCACCTCAAAGAAGATCGCATGGAGCGAGAGTAAGAGCAGAAACGATAGCGGGTGCATAAAAACAATAAAATTCAAAGTGAATTCACAAACTAAAATTTTGAATTTACAAATTTATAAAATAAAAGTACAAATTCAAACGCGGAGCGTCAACTGTTCTGAAATATTACGTGACTAATTCATAATCCAGGCACAATATAACATAAAATTTGAACGACTAATAATATATCAAATAATAATTATTCTTTACTTCTCTTTTTTTAATTACGGAATTTGAAATATCATCACCTGTACACTATTTTATATGAATAATGTTTGAAATAAAAATTATATTATGCCACAAATTAATAAAAAAATAAATAAATCAATTTTTAATAAAAATGAAAGAAAAATATACAAGGATAAGATTCACTATATATATATATATAGAGAGAGAGAGAGAGAGTGTGTGTGCGCGCGCTACCATGGATGGACATCAGTGACGGAAGTTTTGTTGATTCGATCTGGCCGTATCCACCTCTCAGAGCTATGGAGCCCAAAATTAAAAAAAATAAAATATAATAAAATAAAGAAGAAACATAACATGGACAATAGGCTTAAAAAATAAATGTAATATTGTTAAAAAAACTGAACTTTGGACCTCCAATTTTAACGAAAATTCTCACCATAATACACTTAGTCTGGAACCATAAAAGGGTGAAGTGTACGTTTTCAACATGGAGATAAAAATGTTACTAGTTTTCAGCATAAGAGGCTAAAACATAATCTACCCTCTACCCCTCCCATCACATACTCTAAAACCTATCACCCACCATAAATTAAGCAGAAATCAAAAGAAGTCAAAAGTATCGCTAATCTGTTAGTAGTTATTCACCATTACCAGCTTATCTAACATCTTTATCCTCCCGGTGCCAATACCAAACATCCCACACTCCATTGAAGAGAAAAACTTCCAGGTACATACTGATGGACTGTAAATACTAACATAGATTAGAAAAGAAAAGGAAATGGTGAAGAGAGACAGACAGAGAGAGAGGCAAGGGGAGAGAGGTCTGCCTCAAATAGCTAAGTGTGGTAAATTGAGGGATGTTAGTCCCATGCACTAGTTACCCCAGGACCATATGCTCCACTGTAACCGGCAGAGGCCCCATATCCACCATTGAAGTTGCCCCCACCATAGAAGTCTGCACTACCTCTGTTGTAAGAGGAGTCCCTTCGAAAATCACGACTACCAAACCTACCTCCCCCACGACGATTCTTCCCTCCACCATAGGGAGATCGAGCTGCAAAGCGGGACAGCCAAGCAGGTACTTCTTGATTTGCTTCTTGCATTAAGTCTGTCAATGCCCTTGCCATAGAGGCATTGTTCTCGTTGAAGAAGGCGGTAGCCAGCCCTGTTTTCCCAGCTCGCCCTGTCCGTCCAATACGATGGACATAATCATCAATGTCATTTGGAAGGTCAAAATTCACCACATGTGCGACATGTGGGATATCCAGACCACGTGCTGCTACATCTGTTGCAACTAAAATTGGAGTGTTACCACTTTTGAATGATCTCAGAGCTTGTTCTCGTTCCTGCGGACATGCAAAATAAACAATGTTCAGCAGCCAAGGGGCAGAGTCACGAATGTAGTCTAGGGTGGACCCTCAATGCTGTGATATAATTTCTCCAATCAACAAAAGTAAGATAATACATTTATTTCTATTTTCACAGAGACCAATCACAGAAAAATAGAGGCTAATCACAGGCCAATTCCAAGCAATTCCCCATCCAAACAAAGACCACAGAACAAAAAAAAGCCACAAATATGCAAATCACGGTCAATTACAAATAGACCTAACACTAAAGCACTAAACATGCAATTACTTGCCAATCACAACACATATTCTCTGGAAATACAGTATTTAAGCAAAAAAACAAGTCAAATGATGACAAAAATCAGGGGTACAAGGGCCGAAAGTTATCAGAAAAATCTTAGGCAGTGTTAGTTGCCGACTCACTAGATCTCATAAATCCAAAACAAAGCTCAAGGGAAAATGGCACAGTTGCCGGCAAGTAGCACAATCACCTACCCCTCTTCTTCTCACCCGGTTTCCCTCTAAATCTCTATATCCATCTCTCAATTTCATCCGGTGACAATAATCTTACCAGACCAGATATATATATAGACTTTTTTTGAAGTCCAAATGCTTATTATTTTATGTTATGACTGACCTGATGCCTTGATAAGCATTATTTTGATGATAACAAACATCCTAATATGGACCAACACCTGTAATCAGTGTATGGATGAGTATAGGATCAAGCGAAACATATGTTAAAGTAGAAAAGGAAAGAGAAGAACAGAAGCATAAAACAGAATCACAATCCGGAAGAAGAATCCAGAATTCCGAATGTAACATACGGAAGACTATACGTGAAGTCCAGATATACCTTATGGAAGTCCGGTCGAAAAGGAATGGCTGAGGAAAGAATGAGCACATAAAAGACTCCGAGGAACTCTAAATTGGTTCCAGCCGGAAGTCCAGTTACTACCTTCCGGAATTTCGGATGAATATTCGGAAGCTTTCTAATTTTTTCTGAAATACAAAGACTCTGAGGAGCCAAGGAGAAGAATCAGACAGAGTTTTGTCGGAAGTCCGGATATGTCCGTTAGGCCTCAAATGGCTATGTCTGGAAGGCTAAGTAGAAGTCCGAGGAGGCTTCTGGATGACTCGATTTTTTGACTGACAGCTTTATATATGTCATTTACTACACCAAACTATAAATATGGTCTTGAGAGCTTTCAAGCACAACTTTTTGAGTTTTTATCATTTGAGAAAAACAAAAGAGATTCATCAAGCTTTTGTCTATATGTTGAAAAGAAGATTCTTGTGCACATCTTATTGATTATTTTTTGATTCTCAGCTTTGTGAGAATATTGTATTGAGAGAATATTCTTTAGAAAGAGAGGTCTTGGTATATTCTTCTTGAAAAGTGCAAAAAAGGGGGTGTATCAATTTGCATCAAGAAGGATATTTTAAGGGTATCATTCTCACCAATTTTAAGATGACAAAGATAGTGAAAGGAAACTCCAAGGGAAGAAAGAAGAGAGAACGTAGGCCAAATGATTTGGGGGCTGAACATCTATAAATGTTTGCATCTCTCTACACTCTTATACATTTTGTGCATTCATTATTATTCACTTCACACTCATACACTTGAAATCATATCAATTTCATAAAATAGTATTTGTGTTTTTTAGAAGATTTTTGAAAAGTAGAAAACTGATTCACCCCTCCCCTAACAAAAAAAAATTTAGGTTGCATTTGGGACAACAATTGGTATCAGAGCAAATGCTCTTGACATAGTGTGTAACAACCTTGAGCTAAAGATCATGACAACCCTAGGAGGAAACATTGTTGAAGGACGATCTATCTCTAGATGTCCATTCTTTGATGGAAGTAATTATGCATATTGAAGGCTAAAATGAAAATATATATCATGTCCTTGGATGATGCATTATGGGATATCATTGAAGATGGAAATGTAAAGCCCACAAAAGATAAGAAAGAATGTACTAGTAATGAAAAGAAGGCACACACTAGCAATGCCAAGACAATGAATAAACTATATTGTGTATTAGATAGGAGTGAATTCAATAGCATTTCTACATGTGAAACTGTTAGACAAATATGACATATGCTAGAAGTCTCACATGGGGGAACTAGTAGAGTTAAAGAATCTAAGTTAAATATGCTTGCACATGACTATGATCAATTTACGATGGAACCCCATGAGAATATATCATAAATGTTTATTCGCTTTACTAATATTATCAATGCACTAAAATCTCTCAGTAAATTCTAGCCCGATGAGAAACTTGTAAGAAAAATTCTTAGGTGTCTATCGAGATTGTAAGATGCCAAAGTGACCGCCATTCTTGAAGCAAAGAATCTCAAAGCTCTTCCTCTTGAACTTCTTGGTACACTCATGACATATGAAATGGGCATCAAAAGAGATAAGGAGCAAGAGAAAAAAGAAAATAAATCCATTGCATTCAAGTCAACCAAGGCAACAACTGGAGATGATAAAGAGGAAGAAGAAAGTGATGAAGAACTTGCCTTTATCACAAGAAAGTTCAAAAGATTCTTGACAAATCAAGACTCATATCAAAAAAGAGAAAACACAAAAAGAAATGAAGTTATTTGCTACGAATGCAACAAGCCTGGACACATCAAAGCCAAATTGCCCCCTATTGAAGAATGTTAAGAGTTCTTATTTTTTATGTTTTATATTTATGTAGGGTAATATTATAATTACCCAAGAAAGGGTTCAATATCAATAAGAGAGTGTAGAATAATATTGCTCACACATATTATTCTTTCAATCTCTTTCTCCCTCTCACGTCTGTTCTCCTTTTCTTCTAATATAATATTGTACTCTTTACTTTTTTAACTTGGTATCAATGCAGCAATTTAAGTTTTTTTTTTTAAACTGATGAATAGTGTCACATGAATAGTACTGCCTGAACAGTACCTTGTGAACAGTGTCTCGCGGACAATAATTTCGTGAACAATGACCGACGAACAATAACTCGGCGAAGAATAATTCGAGCCCTTGCAAGTGTTGTTGATGCGTCAATCCCCACTAGAGAGGTGCAACTAGAGTATTAGAGGGTGTTGGTGAGCTACCCAATTAGTTTTGGATGAATTTTTGATATTTTTTTTGGTTGAGAAGTTATCCGCATTGACCAAATTCACCAGAATTGCTATTTGGACTTCTGGTTGGTTTGATTTTTTGACACCTAAGTTTGATGTGGCCAACTCGTGTTGTGGAGTAATCTATTTGATCTGATATTCTCTTGATTTTTTTTCTTCGATTCTATTGCTTCAAACCAATACTACAGGGTGTAACTAAAGGGCTTGTTTACTCAGTTGGGTAATTTAGGGCATTTGGGTTGATTTGTGAAGAAATTTTTGGTGGCTTTGGTAAGTCAACAATTTGATTTTTGCCCATTGATGATATCTTTCTAATTGATTCTACATGTTGCATATATATTGTTGATTTTTTTTTGGCTAACCTATTATTTATTGTGGTGGTTTTGGTGAGTGGACAACCTTGTTTTGTGCAAAGGTGATGAGGTTTTGGGTTTTTTGGCTTGATTTTGTACCCTAATACTGTTTACTGCTATCTATCTGCCTCGCTACAGATTATTTTCTAAAAATTAGTGTTTTGCTTCTCCAATCTTCAAGGCTGAGCACTGTAATGATGGGTTTTTCGCCAAAATTATTAGGTTATTGATTTACTTGATTAGCTGAGTTTGTACTTTATGAGCTTGTTAATTTTGCAATGTGACGTGCTACTGTTCTCAGTGTATTATGCTACCCTTCCACTACATTTGGTTTAATCTACTTGTTGGTGTGTTATTTGGTAGTTTATTGGTCTTGTAGTTTCTTACAACAGAGTAGTTATTTGTGTTTTTATTCCTTATGGCACCTTTGAAAGGTGGTCATGGTCATCGATCTGGGTAGGAATGTACTTATTGTAGTGGTACAGGATACATTGAGAATTACTGTTGGGATAAATATGAGAGACTAACATATACTCATCGGGTTTCTAATGATACTTCTTGAGTAAATCAGACTTTTACCAATGGTCTAGTTACTCATACTACCGACTCTTATGATGATCTTTCTTCTCAGTCACGTCAACTCATCCACCAGATATCTTTATTTTCTACACATTCTTCTGTTCTTCCTATCGGCCTTACTAATGGAGGTAACCCTGTATGTATAGTTGCTTAACCTTCTTTGTCATCTTAGATTATTGATTCAAGAGCTAGTGCTCATATGTTTGGTAATTCTTTTTTGTTTTCTAATTCTCGTTTGTGTAATTCACGTATCGTATTGGTTGATGGTTCCTTTCGACCAGTACATGGAACTTGGGATCTCCATCCTACTCAGTCTATGCCCTTAACTTCTGATTTGTTAGTTCCTAATTTTTCCATTTAACATGGTTCAAGGTCATGGTATTAACCATCGACTCGAAGAGCTCTGAGACACATCGATTGCGGCGTTGTGGCGCGACATTGAGCAATACGACCTAAAAAAAAATATTAAACATGAAGAGAGATTCAGGTCATATTGCGGCATTGAGGAACCGTATTGGCCAATTCGGTAACGATATCTCCGCGACACGGGACCGGCTCCGATACAACTCGGACAACTCAATCGAGTCATGCGATATTTGGAATTTATATATATCATGTAACAATATCGTCTCGAAAGATATTAAGTCGGATACAACTCGACCAATTCGTAAACCATGCCATTTAACTTGTTATCTGTGAGCCAGTTAAGTAAGTCCTTACAGTATTCCATGATATTCTCTCCTTGTGTTTTTCATAACCTCAAAACGAAGAAGGTGATTGGTGTGAGACCCGAGTGCAATGGCCTTTACTACTTAGTTTCTGATGATTTTGTTTCTATCTTGAGTGTTATTGTGTCTCCTCTTCAATGGCACTTTTGACTAAATCATCCCTCCTTGCAAAAGCTACGTCAAGTTATTCCTGATGTGAGCTCTTCTTATGTGTTAGAACGTGAGACTTGCCAATTAGGTAAGCATCATCGTAGCTCTTTTCCTCCTAGTTCTTCCGATCGTCAGCCCAGTCCATTTCATGTAGTTCATACAAATATTTGGAATCCTACAAGAGTCAAAAATATTTCTGGTTTTTAATATTTTGTCATCAGCAGAGATGATTGTTTTCATATGACTTGGTTATTTCTTATGAAAGATTGATCTGAATTGCCTAATGTCATTACCACTATTTATAATGAAATTCTGGTTCAGTTCGATACCCGTATTAAAGTCCTTCAATCTGGGGATGCTTTTGAGGATATTCA